ACGTGACCCACAACACGTTCTCGGGGCCCATCCCGTGCCCCGCAGACGACAGTCCGCTGCGCCAGCTCGACCTCTCTCAGAACGAATTCGCCGTCGGCTTGCCGGGCTGCCTGTTTGTCGCCGCGCCGCGGCTGGAGCGGCTGGCGATCAACTACCTCTCTCTCAACTCGGAGCTGCCCGCTGAAATCAAGGAGGCGACGGCTCTGAAGGAGCTGCTCGCCGACCATGCCGGTCTCACGGGCCGGTTGCCTGGCGAAATGCACTGTCTCAAGCGCCTCACGCGCCTCTCCCTCGAGCGGAACCACCTCAGCGGCCCCTTTCCGCAGTGGGCCGTGGACGGGATGAGCTCGTTGCGCGAGCTGCGCCTCTCCTTCAACGGCTTCAGCGGGCCGCTCCCGACCTTCCCCGCGTCGCTGCCGCTCGAACGCGTGTACCTCGATCATAACCGCTTCTCAGGCGCCTTTGGGCCGCAGATCCGCGGCTTTGCGCAACACCTCTCGCAGGAGTCCTTCGCATCGCTCAACCTCGACCATAATGAGCTCTCGGGAAACGTGCCCGACGCTGTCTACCGGATGCTGCACGACGCGCACGGGCTCAAGGCCGCCTCCAGCTGGCACATCACGATGATCGAGAACCACCTGCTCTGCGAGCCGGGCGGCGCACGCAGTCCCGAGCAGGAGCCGCCGACCGACGCGCGGGTGCTTGAGGAGTGGTCGCGATGACTGAAATAGGCACCGACTGGCAGGAGTGGGTGCTCCGCGCGGGCGGCCAGTACTTTGGCCGCTGTACGCCCGTCGCCCAGCCCGCCTCCATCGAAGGCGGAGGCGACGCGGTGCACGCCGGCGCGTCGGTGCGCGTCAGCGGCGCAGACTTTGCGCCCTCTGCCGAGCTCCGGTGCATGCTGACGCCGGTCAGGGCTGGCGCGACCATGGCGGGGGCGGACGGGACGCACCGCGGTGTGGAGCCCATCTTGGCGCCCGCCGACTTTCACAACGAGAGCTGCGTGTCGTGCGCCGTGCCACGGTTACGCCCCCCCCCCCCCCCCACACGCGCCCACACGAGCCCCCGTGCTGAAACACATCGACGTGAACAGGACGACCCCATCTGGCCGGTACGTGCTCAGTGTTGCCAATTTCGGCGGCGACTTCTATTCGGAGGCAACCGCGGGCAGCGCCTACCGTCCCCTGCGCGTGACGGTGCAGCCGTGGGAGGTGTCGCCGAGATTTGGCCAAAGAGGAAGCGTGCTGAGCGCCCCCAACCCTTTGCCCCGCAGGTGCACCCGCCGGAGGGTGGGCTGACCGTGCACGTGTCAACCGCGGAGGCGGCGGCGGCGGCAGGTGGCTCAGTGGCAGGTTTCTGCATCCTGCTCTGTCTCGGCGTGTGCGTGTGCATCATGGTGGCGAGGGAGCGGCGCCGCCTTTCCGACGCCCGTACGGCTCGCGCGTGGACGGCGGCGTGTCTCCACGCTGGCACTCGACTGCCAATAGGCGGGGCAAGCCGATGTTTGCGCAGCAGCTCCACGAGGAGCGGCAGAGCGTCGAGTTCACCTCGGGCGGCAGGCTCGAGCGGCAGCAGGCCTGAGCTCGGGCCCCGGTGATAGAGACCTGACTCCCTTTTTTTGTGCCGCGACCGCTCGCGCGCACACAGCTAGCTCCCTGTGTGGAGGTGGGTTGCACTGTAACGAGAGTCTCTGGCTCTCTGCCCCCCTGTCAAAGTTGAAGGCGGGTACTTTTTTGAATCTCAACACCGTTGTGTGCGATTTGTCCTGCTGTTCTCTTGGCCAGCCTAGCTCTCACAGTCTCACGTGGTCTCAGAGCCGGCGGCACACCGCACACGTGGCGGCGAGAGCCGAGACAGAGTTCCGATCAAACACCCCGCCCGGCTATTAGCACACGACCGGCCCCGGCCCCGGCGCCGCGCGCTTGCGCGCATGGTCGCAGCGACGAAATAAATGAACCGGGGGGGGGGGGGGGGGATGGACCGGGAAACAGGGGTTAAAAAGGGTCAAGTTCCAAACGACTTCCAATGCTGTCGCGCAGGCACCCAGGCCGCAGCGCCCCACGTACCGGCACACCGTCCAGGCGCTCGTGCCCGTTGCGGAAAAAAACGGAGCGGGCGAACAAATAGTTCAAGATTCCAGGGAGCTCATTTTACGGCTGACTAACCGGTGCAAATGGCTAAAGGTTGCTCCCGGCCCAGTGGGGATTTTGGCCTACTCAGTGATCGTCTAGAAATCCTAAATGGCCTCAAATGCCATATCTTTTGTGCCTAAGTTGTAGAGCACCTTGAAAAACTAGTATGTCTTGGAGTGAAAAGTTTCTCGATGAGGTGGGGATCCGTGGTGAGCAGATTCCCAGTGCAGATTCTCCAGATTCCCCTCGAAAACCCCATCAGCCGCGGGTTTGCTCGGATTACTTTTCCCTTGAAGACATACTAGTTTTTTGGCGTTCCGGTGCCTACAAAAATATCCGATATGATATCGAGCTGACCACAGGGTTTGCGGCGATCACTGTCCTACCAGCGGGCACAGTGGGCCGCGGACACCCGTGAATGACCTTAAGGTTGCTCCCGGCCCAGTGGGGATTTTGGCCTACTCAGTGACCGTCTAAGGGGCCCTAAATGGCCTCAAATGCCATATCTTTTGTGCCTAAGTTGTAGAGCACCTTAAAAAACTAGTATGTCTTGCAGTGAAAAGTTTCTCGATGAGGTGGGGATCCGTGGTGAGCCGATTCCCAGATTCTCCAGATTCCCCCTCGAAAACCGCCCCTTTTAATTCATTGCGGCCGCGGGCGTGCTCGGATTACTTTTCACTGCAAGACATACTAGTTTTTTGGTGTTACGGTGCCTACAAAAAATATCCGAGATCGCATGGAGCTGATCACAGGGTTTGCGGCGGTCACTGTCCTACCAGCGTCAGCCAGCGGGCACAGTGGGCCGCGGACACCCGTGAATGACCTTAAGCGGAAAACGTCCCATTAAGAAACCACCCCTCGCGATTTTCGCAAAAATCTAAGAAACCACGGCGCGCCGCAGGCGCGGCCCCGAGTGCCGAGAAAAGGCCAGACACGAGTGTGAACGGGAGCCCCAGCTCAAAATTTCTCTTCGCCTGCGTCATCCAGAGAGCCGACTCGGCGGCAGACTCTGGCATCGCCCTCCGGACCGCAGCTCACCTCTTTCTTACCTAAAAATCCTTAGGGCCGGCTCTGGCCTGAGTGCGGCCGGAGCTAAGAAACCACGGCATGGGGTGGGTGAGGGGTGTGGAAAGGCTTAGAAACGGCGGCGTGCTGCGGAATCCTGTTTTCTTAATGCCCGCAACCCACGGTACATCCTCTTTTTTTCAGTCGTTCTTGTCTAAAGAAAGAAAGAAAACGGGAGACGCCAAACGAGGGATGGGAGGAGGACAGGGTCCCCACCTGCACGAGCAGGATCTTGGTACAAAGAGAAAGAAAGAAAACAGCAAAGGAAAGGAGGGATGCGAGGACGGCACGCCGCCACCACACAGGGATTTTAAAGAGAGAGGTGGATTTTGGGAAATAAATAAATAAATAGAGCAGTCATCTGGGAGCATTTTTGACCGCGCAAGAAGGGTGGCTAAGGGCTCTGCCCGCAAGGCGCCCGCGTCGCAGACGCGGTACCATTGACAAATCTGCAATATACCCCCACACGAACAAATAGCAAAATCCGAATACCGTGCAGAAACTGCGTGATGTGGGCCGTGGACGGGGGCAAGCCTTCAGCTGGTGCCAAGCATTCGTAAAATTGAAGCCAAGAACGTCCGCCAAATCCGTGCTAGGGAAAGCTGATCGAGCCCAGCGTGCCCGCGGCCGCCTCCCGCGCAGCACCGCCCGCTGGGGACGACACGCTGCGGAATCGGATCGAGCCCATGCACCGGGCAAAGAAAAACGCTGCAGAAGCGGTTGGAGAGGCAGCCGGCGTCTGCCGTCACAACGAGTCCCAGCGCTGGTTGGACATGCGCGTCGGCTCGCCCGAGGACTGCTGTCGCGACCCTCCCGTCGTGACGCAGCCTCCGACGAGCTCTGCAACCGAGGAGAGTGAGGGTGCGCCTCCCCTCACTGCTGGCCTGGCTGCGCACCACCCCACAAAGCACCCCCTCGAGCATCTCTACAAGCACAAGCACAAGGGCGACCTTCTCCAAGTCGTCAACACGCCCGGCGGCTCCGACAAGACTTTAGCCTTGGCCACCCTCCTTGCGGAGCAGGAGGAGATCCGCTCTCGGTCGGCAACGTGGCAGCTAGTCGAGAGACGGCTCGGTAGTTGTGACCCCCCTCTGTGCTCTGAGTGAGGACAGGAGAGAGAGAGCTTTTGTGGTGTTGGTGTATACGCAATAAACGGGACAGGGTAGTCGTTCTCTCTAGCTCCCCTTCTAGCTCTTAGCATGAGCTGCGCCCTGTGTCCGACCCCTTTTGCGCAGCAACACCTTAAACTTTTAGGCCCTCCAAATTCGGGTCGGAGCGTAGCGGAGTGGGCCCCGAGTTTGAAAAGGGCGACGGACGCTTGCGTCCTAGCCTCCAACAACGCCTCCCCGGCGCAGAGGGGCCCCCGGAGGGATGCTCAACCGCTCCACGCCACGCCGCTTGCGGCGGTCCTATTCCCACCTCGCGAGCGTTTTCCCTATCATTGAAAGAAGCAGACGGGTCGCGCTACACGCCTCCTTGGCGCTCTGCTTTTCCCTGCTGCCGCCGCGGCCTTGCCTGCCTCCCGGAAGCCCTCCGGCCATGCCAGCCGCCGCCGGGCCGCCCGGCGGGTCCAACCCGAAGCGCCCGACCGGCCGATCGCGCCGCTCGGCCGACGCGGCGAGCCCCGCGGCCCTCAATCGCCCGGCGCAAAGAACGCCCAAACCGGCCCACGCGCACGGCCTGGCCTCGGTCGCCGTTCTCGGCGGCGGAACTTGCTACTTCATCGCTTTCTGGATCTTCCTTGCGCTCATCGGAATGCTGCCAACGGTTGGCGGCATGAATTTGGAGCTGTTCTCACCCGACTCGCTCTTCTCGCCCATCCAGGGCCGGTCAAACTTCCCAACAATGGGGGCGTACCGTGCCTACCAGCGAGACAAGTATACGAAAGTGACCGGGCGGAACCTCGACTTCACGAGCGACTACCGCCGCGAGTTTCAGACCATGACCGAGAAGGTCGACCTTGCTCGGTCGAACCTCGAGGGTGCGGTCAACACTCCCGTGTTGAACGCAAAAGACGACCTCTTCGAAGGCTCGCCGCTTGCGAAACAGTACAAAGAGCTCAAACACAAGTACGTCAGTGACGTCGGCCTCACGTTTGAACAAGAAGTCGACAAAAGAATCCGAGAACTGCGTGATGCCGGCAAGGAAGTCCCCAAGCGATCCAAGGTAGCGGCCAACGTCAATCGCAACATGCACGACAAGGTCCGCCATGCCAAAAACAGAGCGGACCTACCCGAGACCGACAAGCGGAGCGCGAAGAACCGAGCCAAAAAGGCGCTGCATGGCCGTCCCGGTCGGCGAGCTCAAGAAGTCATCAATGGCACACTTCCAGTCGAACCGAGCGACGTCGGCAGGCGCAGATCCCCCAGCACTGTCTCACGTTACTGTCGCTTCGTGTCACACACTGCACGTTTGTACTCGTAGGCTTGCCCTCACGCCCGAAGAGGCGACGCCCGCGACGACGTGCTCCGCTTGCGACGCGCAGCTTCTTCCCGGCGAGGTCGCCTCGACAAACCCTACGCTCGGTTCGCACTGCTGCAGACAGGGAAAGGTAGTCCTCGACATTGTCAAGTGCCCAGATTCGAAGCTCACCCAGTTGTGGCACGCGACCACTTCGCTCGGCCGGACGCTCCGGAAGTTTGCCCGCCCGATCAACAATGCGCTTGCTATGGCCAGTCAGGTCGTTTGCGAGCCCAGGAATGCGCCCGGTCGCGGGGGATGGAATCCGTCGTACGTCATCCAAGGCAAGCTGCACCACTGTATGGGTCCTCTTTATCCGTCCGAAGGCACTTCAAAGGCGTTCGCTCAGACCTACATGAACGATCCGGCCATGGGCGACGTCGCGCCGCTCGACTTGCGAATGGGACGCATCTATTTGCCGGCCAACACAAGCAAGCCGGACAAGAAACGAGTGCGTGAACTGCTCGACATCTTCGGACAAGCGATTTGCGAGCACAACCCGTACGTGAACGATTTTGTGCAGGTACCTTTCTCCCCCCGAGTGTTGCGAGGATCACCTCCTTATATTCACGCTGTCTGCGAGCGCCACAGGCGAGTCAGCTCACCGGCAAGGGCGACAAGAAGGCAAAGATCGTGATCAACGCGGACGCGCGCCCAGCTCCTCCCGATGGTGACGTTCCCGCTTCATCACACGAGCGACGATACAACCCGCCGTCAACGTACAAGGGCCTTCACGGCAATCAAACCTATGGTGAGGTGTCTGTGCTTATGCCAGACGCCGATGTCGGTGGGCGAGACGTGGTTGTCCAATTCCACGGCGGCGGGCTTCGCCGCATTCACGAGACTCATCGGTCCTTTGACCCGCTCCACTTCGTGCTCCTCTTTCCCGCCGGCGACGATGGCTGGAAAATCAACATGAAAAAGAACGGCACGCAGCAGAGCATCACACCGTGCGACTACTACGCCTACCGCATTCAGTGGCGAGTCAACGATGACGGCAGCAACGCGCTGCTCATGTCAGAACGATTGTTCCAGGTGCGTCTTAGTCAGCTGATACTACACGCCACGTGCCCTTTCATCCCCGCCGTTCCCATAGGAATACTGCTGCAGCGGCTTCGCCAAGGCCGAGCACTGCCGGCTGCAGTGGCAACGACACAACCAAACGGCCATTCGAGCGGCGATGTATCAGGGATTGTGCGATCACGTCAAGGCTGGCGATGCAGGCAAGCCGGTCGGGAAGCGCATTGTCCTATCGAACAGTTTTGTCGGTGGAAACCGCGACATGTCCCGACGCTACCAAGATGCAATGGCATGCGTGCGGCATCGGGGCAAGCCATCGTTCTTCATCACCTTCACGTGCAACCCGAAGTGGAGCGAGATCGTCGACTTTGTAGAGTTTTACCCCGGTTCATCGGACGTCCTCTGATGAGCCAAGATTCCTCTGGGCATGAATCCTCCGGCCAAGATTCCTCTGGGCGGAGATTTTGAGATACATCGATCTCAATATCTCCCTGTCGCCTTCTGTTGTTTTTTTTACCGAACGGACACGAACGAGAGAGAAGAAAGGAGATACCCGGAGGTGGCGTCCTACGGTTAAAAAGCAGGAGATGCAGGGAATTTGTGTTGTCTTTGGGGGGGAAATGAAAGGGAAGCACCGCGACGGGCGGCGGCGCTGTCGTCGCAGGACGCACACGAAGCAGGGACGCCTCGCAGTGGGCGAGCGATCTTGCGAGGCGGGGAGCGGCGGCTCCTCCCTGGGCTTGGTTGGCCACAGCCCAGCTGCAACCCCGCGCGAACTTGTCGTCTTTCTTTTTTTAGCCGCAGGAACGCCGCGAGCACGGTTGCGCCGCGTACGGCGTGTTGCCACAGGTGCATGAAGCTGGACTCTTTGCTCCTCGCTACGCGAGCGACTCTCTCTTCTTTGTGGCTCGTTTGTGACTTGGTGATGACTGCGCGCGCCTGGTCTCCTTCATGTTCGTCGCCGAGCGCAGACCGCAAACGCAGGTTTGCAGCAGAGCTCTCGCAACTGCAGCTTGTCGGAGAAAAGAGCGTCCCTCCACTCTCAATGAGCACTAACTACACGACGGCGTGGACACAACTCCTTCCTAGGTCATAGCCCTAGAATCTGGATTCTCTCGCAAGCATTTAGAGACCCACTCAATCCACCAGTGGGCTGTACGGTATCCGGACCTGGGAGCTCTTGGCCGTTCTCACCCTCTTCACATTCACAACGACAAAACAAATAAAGGCGGTTACCAAACACAGCGGCGCCCGCGATCCCAGCCTACTTTTGCCGCCTGCTTTGCGCCATGAAAGGCTCCGCCTCCAAGCGCCCCGCCAAGACCAAGCACCTAAAGAAGACCATCGACAAGAAGAAGCCCAAGCAGCTCAAGCAGCCCAACAGGGTCGAGGTCACCCTTCGCGTCTCCGTCAAGAACATGCGCGGCCTCGTCGTCGCCGCCATCTCGCACGAGCAGCCTACTTCAGCTGCCGAACGCGAGGCGATCAAAAAGGCTGTCGGCAAGAACGGCCAGAAGGTGATCTACTTCCGCAGCAAGCAGGGAAGCGGCCTCAAAAACAGCTGGACCAATGAGACCTCCGCCTCCACGAAGGGCAACCTGCGCTTCACAACCGAGGCGCCCATTGAGGCGGTGCAGGCGCTGCAAGAGGCGCTTCGCAAGTGCCCCGAGGTGACACTCTTGCCCTCATTTCCAACCACAGTGTGCTGCCGTACTTCACCGCCTCCACACACGGTGTTGCCGTGCGCGCTGTAGCCTCAGGCCTGCTGTGCCGACATCTCAGACAGTGCAGAGGGCTCACGACAACCACCCTCCCCCGTCGCAGGTGAGCAAGGTCAAGATCGCCTCCCTCGAGACGGGCGCCAAGCTCTCCACGGACGATGTCGCCGCTATCAAGCAGCCAGACACGGCCGACACCGACTCTGAGTCCGACACGTCCGACAAGAGCGGCACGTCCGAGCCCGACTCGTCCGAGTCGGGCGACATGACCGGCGGGGAGGACGGCGACACGAGCGCCGAGGAGGAGGAGGGGGAGGAGGAGGAGGAGGAGAAGGAGGCGGACCAGCTCACGTACGGCAAGGCGGAGGTGCTCCTCGACGAAAAGCTCGCCGCGCTCAAGAACGAGGTCTTCACAAAGATCAACCAGTCCGCTGCCGCCGTCATCGCCGAGGTCAAAAAGATCGCCAAGGCGGAGCCGGCCGCCAGCGGCCAGTCGCCCGCGACGAACAAGGCGACGACGCCGGCGCAGAAGCGCTCGGCCGCGCCCGTCGCCGCGACGTCCAGCGGCGCCCGCCCGGTGCGCGCCCGCACGCCCGCGCGCAAGCCCGAGTGAGAGCGTGTTCCAGTCATAGTGCGCCGCCGCCCGCGCACTCGCTCGCACGGCTTCCGTTCTGTCGTCGTGTCCAGCTCCTCTTCCTCGAGTAGTGGCGTCGCCGATGACGACGAGCCGCTCGCGAGCGACTCCGAGTCGCTGCTTGACCGGGCCATAGCGGCGCACGCGGCGCACATGTAGATTTATAGGTGTGTGTGTGGACCGGCGCCGAGTATCTTTCCTTCCGCCATTTCACATGCTGTGAGCTTTGTTGCGTGAAACACCGACCCTTCCCCTGTGGGCAGGTGGAAATGTCGGAGCCGGTTGACCCCGCGACCGGTCTGACAATGGAGCAGACCTACTTGCATTTCGGTGGAGGGCCGGACCCACAGGACGATTGCTGCAGCACGTAGACGGGAGGAGACTGGGAGTCTGGGAGGAAAGAGGCTTGATTGTGTAGAGCAGCTCCATCTCTCCACCCCCGGAAAAAAAACGGCTCTCGAGTATCGTCTGTGGGAGCTTTCCTAGCAAGCCTCTGTTTCTTTATCTCCGCCGTGTCACGCGTAGTGTGTGACCTTCGGCGCGCGCCAGCTCACCTGCTTTGAAGCGATCCCGCCCCCTTAAGGGGGCGGGGCCCTCGAGGGCCTCAACTCTAGTCTTTCTTTACGCAAGTGAACCCGCTCGGTCGCTCCAAAAAATGGCTTCCTCGTCGGGCGAGTCGCTCGTCTCTCTTCTGTCGGCCCCGCCCGTCCTCGACGCGGCCACTGCCGACCGATCCGGAGAGCTCTACCGCTCTGGCGTCGCTCTCCACCAGTCGAGTGCCCACACCGAAGCGGCCATTGAGTTTGAGGCGGCGTTTCGGCTGCGTCCGCGAGTGTCCACGTTGCTCAACGTCGCCTCGATGCGCACGCACATGGGCGACGTGGCGTGCGCCGTGGGAATCTACCGCGCCATCCATGCCGCTGGCGTCGGAAGCGAGGCGGAACGGTCGGCTGCGGCGCGGAGGCTGACTGCGCTCGAGGGCGGCGGCGAGGGTGGCGACGATGCGGCGCTGGTGACGACGCCGCCCTCTCTCTCCGACGAGGATGAGGGCGGCGGAGCGCCGCCTGGCCCCGCCAACGGCCATGGCGCGCCGCTGCCATCGCTGGCTGCCACCCCGCCTCGCCTCCCGCGCGCCCTCGCGGCAGAGACCCCGGGAGGCGGCGCGGCGACCCCGGACTGGCTCCGGTCGAGCTCCCGCCACGTGCGCTCCCTCTCCATGGAGCCCGACCCGTCCGCTGCGGGCCCGCTCCTCGCCTCGTATTCGCCGCCGCCCGCCCCTCTCGCCGCCGCCGCCGCCGCCGCCGCCCGCGAGGAGGCTGGTGAGGAGGCTGGTGAGGAGGACGGTGCCCCGCCGCCTCCTCCGCCGGCGACGGCGCGGCTTCGGTCGAGGCTGGAGGCCGCGCTTCCCTCGGCTGTAGAGGAGCAGCCGGCGCTGGGAGAGCTGCTCACAGCGCTGGTCGAGTCTGTGCTGAGCCTCGCGGCAAAGCAGAGCCGGGGAGGCGGAGGAGGTGGGGGAGGCGGAGGAGGCGGCGGTGGGGGAGGAGGCGGTGGGAGAGGAGGCGGTGGGGGAGGGGGGCAGCAGGAGGCGCTCCAGGAGCGGGCGGTGCAGGAGGCGGAGGTGTGGCGGCAGGTAGCTGTGCAGCAGCAGTCGCAGGCGAAGCCGCACTCACGGATGGCCCGACATCACTCGTGATCGCTCGAGATGAGCAGAGGTGACCAGATATGACCAGAGGTGACCGGAGTGTGTAGGTGCACCTGCTGCAGCAGCGGCAGCAGCAGCAGCAGCGCGAGGCGGCGGAGGCGACGGCGGCGCGGCAGCGCGAGGAGCATCGGCGGGCGCTCGGTACTCTGTCTGCAGAGGCAGAGGCGGTGCAGGCGGAGAGGAGGGGAGGGGCCCGCGAGAGGAGCCGAGAGGAGCCGAGAGGAGCCGAGAGGAGCCGAGAGGATGCGGCGAGCGAGCTGCTGCAGGCGGAGATGGAGGAGCTGCGCGCGGAGCGGCGCGGCCTCGTCGAGCGGCACAGAGAGAGAGAGGCGTCGCTGGAGGTGCGGTGCACTTCGGCTGCACCTCGGCTGCACTTCGGCTGCACCTCGGCTGCACTTCGGCTGCACCTCGGCTGCACCTCGGCTGCACCTCGGCTGCACCTCGACTGCACCTCGGCTGCACCTCGGCTGCACTTCGGCTGCACCTCGGCTGCACCTCGGCTGCACCTCGGCTGCACCTCGACTGCACCTCGACTGCACTTCGGCTGCACTTCGGCTGCACCTCGGCTGCACCTCGGCTGCACCTCGGCTGCACCTCGACTGCACCTCGGCTGCACCTCGGCTGCACCTCGGCTGCACCTCGGCTGCACCTCGGCTGCACCTCTGCAGGCGATGCTACGTCAGCTCTCCGAAGCACTGCGCGACGAGGTCTGCAGCCTCTGGAAGATACAATACTGCAGCCTCGAGATGCGGAGCATGGTCTCCAACTGCACTCCAACTGCACTCCAACTGCACTCACTGCATCCGCAGCTCTTGTGTTCCACGCAATACACTCCACACAGGACCGCACCCACCCCCTCTGGCGTACTCACAATGCAGGTCTGTCGCGCCGACGAGGCTGCCTCCCGCCGGGCTGAGGCGGAGAGGCTCTTGGCGGAGGCAGAGGGGCGCCTCGCCGCCGCGCTACAGAGCAGCTCGCAGCTTCAGGTGGCCGCTTCTAGCCCCGACACTCCGCCGCGACACCTCGCTCTCTCAGCCCCGACCTCCGAAGGCTTCGCCCTGCCCCTCGCCCTGCCCCCGCCGTCTCACCCCTACGCACGCCGCGACGGCCGCGTCGCCGCCTTCCGCCCTGCCCCCGCCCTCGCCGTGCCTCCGCCCCTCGCGACGCTCGCGCGCGACGCCCTCGCGTGACGGTTCGTGTCTCCGGGCGCTAGGCCGACCTGGCGCAGATGCGCAAGTCGACGGGCTTCTACTCCGCGCGGGAGGCAGCCTCGGCGGCGAGATGTAGCCGAGATGCAGCCGAGATGCGGCCGAGATGCGGCCGAGATGCGGCCGAGATGCGGCCGAGATGCGGCCGAGATGCGGCCGAGATGCGGCCGAGATGCGGCCGAGATGCAGCCGAGATGCGGCCGAGATGCGGCCGAGATGCGGCCGAGATGCGGCGCCCGTCAGCCGCGCCCCTTTGCTGTAGGCGGCGGGCGCGCGGCATGGCGAGGCTGGCGCGGCAGCGGCGGCCGAGAGAGTGGCGGCCGAGGGAGGGACAGCGGCGGCGCGGCACAGCTCTGCGAGCTCTCGCGCCAGCGCAGCCCGCCCCGTCATGCCGCGGGCCGCTCCCTCCGCTTCCGCCGCCGCCGCAGTGGCCCGCAGCGGCAGCGGCAGCGCGGCCGCCGCGCCTTCGTCGCCGCCGCCCGCCGCCGCCGCCCCTCGCCCGCCCTCGCCCCTCAAGCACGTCGAGCACCCTTCCCGCCTGCAGCCACCCACCCGCCAGCAGCCGCCGCCGCAGCCGCCGCAGCCGCCGCAGCCGCCGCAGCCGCCGCAGCCGGCGACGGGCCACTCGCAGAGCTCATCCGCCATCCCCTCTCGCGGCGCCTCGCGGCCGGCGACCCCGTCGTCGATGGCGAGCGCGGTCCGCCGCAGGGCGATGGCGCGACGTGCGGCGGCCTTCAGCGCGGCGCGGCTGCGAGTAGGTGAGCAGCAGCTCTGCGGCTGGGAGCACAAACACGGCCCGCTACGTCGACCGGCTCATCTCGCGCGCCAATCGCGGCAGCGTCTCACAGGCCGACGTCGACAAGGCGCAGGCCCACTTCGAGGCGGCGCGGCGCGCCAACGACGCGAAGGACTACCAGTCCGCGTGCACCAGCTTTGAGCGCGCCTACTTGCTGCTGCCAAAGCCCGCGACTCTCGTCTCCACGGCGAGGAGTAGCGCGAGGAGTAGCCGCGAGTGTGTTGGCGCCGCGATCTCGCGCGAGAGACGCACCCAAGGGACTGCAGCGCGGGCGAGAGAAAGAGATGGCGACTCGCCGAGCTCTTTACCGGAGCCGCCCGCTTCCCTCCCCAAAGGCAAACATGTACGTCAAGATGGGCAACGCATCGATCGCCGCCGAGATATACCACCGTCTGCTTGCCGAGTCGCTGCCGCAGCATATGCACGATTTCATCGCCGACAAGCTGCGCGTAATCCAGCCGTCCGAGTAGCGCGTCCGAATGTGGACATGACTCACTCACGACTCGCGGCTAGTGGGGCGAGCTCTGAAACCGCGTCTCAGGTGCCATCCCATGCCTGCATCGCATTGATCTCGTCGATCTTTCCTCAGTAACCACACGGATATAAAACGACGCGACTTATTTTGCGAGAACCGAGATCGGTTCTCGGATCTCGCAGACTGAGATACAGATAGACTCTGCGGACTGCGCGCCCCGTGCGCGCGCCGCCTCCGACGTCCGAGCTCCGAGTCCGACCTGTCCGTACGATAAGCAATAGGGGTTACGGCTTTAGCTTATACGATGAGAGTAACGCGGTAGTATATTCCTCGCGAGAGACGACGCCATGCACATGCTGTGTGCCGTCGAGCCTTAGTTAATTGGCTGCGCGGGAACTGCGGTTGCTGCTGCTCAAGGCTGCTCACCCACCCCACCCGCGAGCCGCCACGTCGCCTGCCCAACCTTCCTGGCAAGCTCATCCGCCGCCTGCTGCGTGGCCGCCTCGGCGTACACTCGCACAACGTCTTCGGTCCCCGAGGGGCGGACGAATGCGCGGCCTCTCGAGTGGGCGGCCGCGAGGTCCTGCTCGTGCACGGCACACGCGCAGTGAGGCGGTGCCGCGCTGGCAGTCGCAGCGCCGGTAGCGACACGCGAGGAGAGGAGTGACGCGGGTGTGTGTGTGTGTGTGTGTGTGTGTGTGT